TTCACGAGAGACATGAAATTTCAGAGCCATTTCACGAGTGTGTTACCTTCGGTTAGACTCAACAACCGTCTTCAGAGCATCAATATCAATTCCAACATGTCGGCTCCCGGCATCACAGTTTTTAAGGTGAAGTCACCTGAACGAAATTTGCTGAACCATCATAGACACTCATGAACGTTCAAAACATTTCCATAAACTTCTTTGATGTTCTTTGTAGCTATAGCGGCATTGTTTCCCCCCTCTTGTATTCAAATGTCTAATGTGTGTCTTGTCTTGTGCCATCACTATAAGGGATTAGAGTATACTAAACTTTACACATTATATAACGTGACGTTTAGCGGTTAGTTTAACTATTATACGTGATGTACGTTTTTTGGGGTAGTTAATTAATTTTTTGACGAACTAATGTTTCAACGCCCGGACACCAGTGGGAAAATTTATAAGTAAAAAAGAATAGGCATATATTTATTTTTATAAGTAAATTTTTTCTATGTAATTTTTCAAATAAGGAATCAACATAATTCAAACTGTACACATTTTAAAGTGTAAATTTTAATTTTTTTATTTCATACATATTTCTCTCTGTTATTGTTAAATTCTTTGTTTTATTTAAGCGCAACCTAACACAATATGCTATCTATACTAAATCATTCACTGTATCTGATCGCAGATCTCTTTAGCATTATCAGAACCCAAACTTACCACTGAATTACTGGGAGCTAGTAGGAAATGAAACAAAATACTTTTCTCTTGTATAGGAAATAGATAAGCAGCCAATTTCATTCATAAAACTTAAAATAATAAATTATAATGTTTCAATGAAAGGAACAGGTTTTGCAAATGATATAGAATCATTCAAATTTTCACAAAAATATTCTATTGACAAAATATAAAAGAAACAAAAACACAATAAAGTAGACAGCATTGTGTTGCAAAGCCTTCACGTGAATTTCATTTGGAATTTTTACTAAATTGTGCTTAGACTTCATAGTTTTACCATGAGATTTTAGAAGGTAGACAGCATACCGTTACCCTGAATATAAAGAAATGACAATCTAGTAACGGTGAAGATTTGAGAATTCAAGATCTCCAAATAAAATATATTCAAAATTAATATAATCGTTATTATTCTCAAGTTATTTTCACGACTAACAAAAAACAAGTTAAATGTAAACTTGTTTACCTCACAAACGTTGAATCTCTTTGTCATTCTGTTAATATACTATACGTATAGTGTTAACAGTTTGTTTTGTTATTGTTGTTCTGGCGCAAAGCTGCACAATTGGCTATATTTTCTCTGTCCAATGCGAAGAATCGAACTTATAATTCAGTTAGGTAAGCAAACTTATTTCTGAGCCACCAAGGAGCTAAGTTGTAACACATCAGAAGTGTAATATGTCAGGCGCTTATGACTTCTAGATAAAATTTGATATTAAGAGTACATTTATTTATGTTTTATCGCTTACTTTAATTCACAGAAACAGGACATATATTTGTTTTTAGGATTTTCTATAAAATATTCGGTTATCAAACGTTACTGCTGAAGAACATCTCGAAAGATAATTTGTGAGATTAAATTACAAGCAGCATCCATAGGTCATTCAATATGAACCACTGTTGCAATACTTTAACCCCTCTGGGGAAAATTCAATTTTCATCAACTATTTCAAAGAAAAGTGTAAGTTAAATTGACTCGCAGCAACAGAAACTTAGAGAACAAACCTATATTAAGTAAACAGAGAACTCTGCCGCTACTTATCAACTTAGAGAACAAACCTATATTAGGTAAACAGAGAACTCTGCCGCTACTTATTAACTTAGAGAACAAACCTGTATGAAGTAGACAGAGAACACTGCCGCTGCTTATCAACTTAGAGAACAAACCTGTATGAAGTAGACAGAGAACACTCCGCTACTTATCAACTTAGAGAACAAACCTGTATGAAGTAGACAGAGAACTCTGTCGCTACTTATCAACTTAGAAAACAAACCTGAATGAAATAGACAGAGAACTCTGCCGCTGCTTCCAGTTCGTCACCGGGCCACTCCAACAGTTGACATCCTTGGGTGTTCGAGTTGTAGTTAAATCCTCTGCAGCCTTCTGTCTTGTAGCAGTGATGCCCACATGACCATACTTGTGGGTTTTGAGATGTATCTAGATTTGTCCCCACCTGACGTTGACTTGCGTAATATTTATTGAATACGTTTAGTCCAAATTTATTACAATTAACCGAGATTATAGTTATGCAAATAATGAACAAAGAATAATGTGAAACTTCCAACATTATTAATCTTCTATTTGAAAAATCTAAAACATGTATATATATGGATCAATAATTTTTTAACTTAGTTATATGTTATATAATTAATTAGATAATCCAGATTTCTATGGACTAAATGTTAATAAGATAACTCGACTCTTCATAAAGATGTTAAAAATTTCGTTATAGCGATAATGATTTTGACCTCGTCACACAAATCAGGTGTTTCTATACATTCGCTAAACTAGATTATATTAGCTCAGTGTATGTTCAAAACCCAAGCTCAAGTGATAAAACGCATCTGAGATTAAAGTTGCCAAATGTTTTATTGTTGTTTCCTTGGTTACCGAAATGTAGTACGTATTCGGGATTTCATGCCTTCTGCTTGTTTTTGTTATTTTTATTATTGTTATTAAAAAATGCGTGTAAAGGCTAGTTCAGTGATTTAAATGAATTCAGTATACGTTCGTGTGATAATTAATAAATAAGTAGCATGGTCGATTTTGTTTCTTTGGTTAATCTCGCTCAAAGCTGCTCGTGGGCGATATGCGCTAGCCGTCCCAAATTTTGAAGTGGCAGACTAGATGGAAAACAGCGAGTTAACACTATTTCCCAAGGCCAATTCTTGAGTTATACTCTACCAAAGAATATTGGGAATGAGCATCCCATTATAACGTACCCATGGCTGAAAAGACAAGCATGTTCCATGACGAAAGTTAAACCCCACGTTGCAAGTCGAATGCCCTAAACATCAGACCTTGCCAAGCCAAGAAAGAGCAATCGATTTAGGCTCTCACTACGTCATTTGATTGTAAACATTTTCCCACGTTAGAAAAAGATCCTTCAACTGATGTGTGTATCTCAAAAGGTGAAACGCTAAAATGAGATAACGTTATATGAGTTTGTTTTTGAATTTTGTAAAGAAATCAAAAACGAGATTCATTACTTCTAGGATTTCAATCCTGTACAAATCAAAATATCTGATATTCTTCATGTTAAATAATTTTACTGATCTTCAGTAGAGAAATAAGTTAAATAATTAAATATGGTCTTCCATTGTCTACCTAAATATTATTACTGGGGTGTTTCAAAATTAAAGTTTATACGTGCTAAGAAAACATGGCTGATTGATCTTCTTTAACACAAACTTTAAATCAACTATTCTCTTTTCTTTCGTATTATTATCATTATTACTAGAATTGGAAAATGTTTAAATTATTTATTGTCTGTTTGTTTATAATTAAGCACAAAACTACACAATGGGTTATCTGTCTCTGCCCACCACAGGTATCGAAACCCGGATTCTAGCATTGTAAGTCCGCAGACTTACCGCTGTGCCACTGGGAGGGGGGGCTATTTATTGTCAAAATTCATCAGAGCAAGCGTAAACAGTAAATTGATTAATTGTAATGAGTATGGAATGCAAACAACAGGCCTCCCCAGTGGCACAGCGATATGTTTGCGGACTTACAACGCTAGAAACCGGGTTTCGATACTCGTAGTGGGCAGAGCACATATAGCCCATTTTGTAGCTTTTTGCTTAACTTCAAGCGAACAACAGCTACATCACCTTACAGTGCAAGTTTATGTTTATATTTTGCTCGGGATTATGCAAATTACGATCACATGATTTGTAATCTCGTGATCAAACAAGTAAATAAAAACCATACATTGAGATGTAACAAGTTAGTTCACGAGATATAGCTTAACTCGGATTTTCAATTCAAATTCGGAATATTGTTATTTTGGAATTAGGATTTTTTTATTTGTCTGGTTAATTTTTTTCCCCTCATTCCTTTATTTATTTGTTTATTTATTAAAATATTTATTAACATAGGTTTATATATTGTATTATTCATTAACTGGCCAGGCACTTATTTCTTTACTGTGTTTTGGTAAGTTACCAGCTTTCTATTTCAGTTGTGTGAAAGTCACACTTTAAATTTCTGTGGTTGTCAAAGTATAATAATTTTGTTGTTTTTTTTTCTTTTTGGTTCAACCTTGGTTATAGTGGCGAGTCACTTTAGACTATTAAAAATACTTCAAACCAGTAAAACTATATCATGTGGTTTGGAATAAGAATGATGTCTTTATGTGTCAATCAAACCTGTGCATGACATTATATTGTTTACGACAAAGAAGTCTAAAATTGAAGCCAGAGAAATAGTTTTATGTTGTTTCTCTATCTAAAAGTCTAACTTACAATGTTTAATGTCTTATAATACAATCAAATTATTAACAAAAGTTCTGTAAGATTTTACTGGTTATTAAAAACTTGTTACTTGCCGAATCAGAAAAGACTCCTTTATATTTAGTAATCTAACATTTTCTGTATTTGCAATGATTTGGAATATGCTTTGAAACACCACAACATAACAATCAGCTAATGTATATGGATGTATACTTGAATTGTCTTTAGACCCAGGATTACTGTTTTGTTTTTAATATTCCCTTAGCTTTCATATTATGGAACCGATACAGGCGCCCTCACACGTATGACAACGGAATTCATAAGTCATGCAAGACCATTGGAGAAGAAAAATTTAGTCTTTAATTGAGAACAAATTTTGAATCCGGATGGAAAGTTTAAACACGTTTTAACATAGTTTGTGGATAAATTCTTCTCACAATGGCATTCAGTTTTATTTTGATTTGACCGAACTGAACACCAGTATTCCAGTAAAATTATGAAATCTGTCAGACTTATGAGATCGGAATTTATTTGCGAAGGAGTGAGAAGTTATTTTATCGTTGTCTCAACATTAAGTTCGACCAAACATTTTGGAAAACAATTAATTTTCAAATTTGATGCTAAGTTATTCAGATCTTATTGATAAAGCTCAAAATTGTTAGTAACAATGTAAGCACAGCATATAAGACATTAGATTAGACTTTCTTTATAATTATGTGCTATAAAGTTATCAAAAGGTCAATAAAGTCCAGAGCATGTTGATTTATGATGACAAACGGTTAAAGTTTGTTGTACATTAGGGTGTCCTCAAAAGTAAAATAGATTTTTGTTGGCATTCACGGTCAACCGTCTTGAATTATTAATGTATAAATTTTGATTTTCTTCTTTTGTTCCATATAGTCTATAATTTGCTCTTATATTTTTATATCATGCATGTAAGAGGAATATTCCTTTTTTCTTTCATTTTACTTAAATGTTTAACACTGGATTTTGTTTAATTTGTTTTCTCAATTTTTAATCTATTTACTATATTAGATATATTTCTCTATTAGTTTTATTTAATAGTTATGCATTAACCAGTCATCAGATAACACCCCAAACTTTTATATTTCCCCTATTTTATATATCTTTCATTTCATGTCTTCTGCTTCATGTTTCTTTTTTATTTTGATTTCATGGTAATCTAATTAATACTTAATTAATAATAATTAATAATTAATCATTATTAATACTTTCTCCATATACGTCTGAATATTTAATTTATATAATATTAAAGGGTTTTACTTTGCTTTATATTTCGTATTTTATAAATCTAATGCATTTACTGTTTATTATTACAAGAACAACCTCAAACTACAGACTTGACAAGCATACTGCAACATTTATTAACAAAACTTCAAGATACACTACTATAAATATCTTAGCTTATATAATACTGGATTAGCTATCATACAGATTATTCTCCATTATGTCCATATTACTATGTTAGTTAGAGTTTATATTTTTTCATCTTTGTAACATTATGTGAAAATAAACATTGAATGTATCACAAGACATCACACCCATGTCATGTTTCTACATAAATAAACAAATAAAGGATTCAATGCAAACTAAACATAAGATTTCAGTTTGTAGGCTGAGAAAAACTAGTTTATAAACTATTTCAAAACGGTTATTTCCTTCACATAGATTTTGAAACAATGTTTTGGTAACATGTGATGCATTATCTTTTTCTTACAATTTATAGAAAGATCATTAAATATATATTAATTGTCAGTTACAATTCAGTGTACTGTAATGTCTTATCATCACCCAATATGTTATCATTAATATATGTAAATAAAATAACACACTTATTAAGTATGACACATACTGAAACATTTATTAACAAAATACTGGATTAGCTTTCAGTCAACTTGTGTATATTATGTCCATATTACTGCTTGTTTATTTCAGTTCAGTATGTAAGATTTTTAATATAGTTTATTGCTTTTGTTCTGAAGTATGTTATGCACAATACTTAATGAGATTAAACTGTTCCTGACATACAAGCAATTGGTCAAAAGTTCAAACAGGGTCAGTTAGAAAATATAACTTATACTCATTTTAAGTTGCTAATTCATTAACAACTTAATTCTACTTTATTCAGGCTAAAGTTCAAATGCCAGATAATTATATGCCTAGCTTAGTCTTTTATGATTAATTACACTCTATAAATATTCGTTTCCAACAAGTATGTTTGAGCATCTAATACAAGTCTCCATTTATATTTTTTTTATGAAACTCATGTTTCATCGTAGCCCAATATGCCATTATTAATATATGGAAGTAAAAGTCATAGACTTAAGTATCATAAGTGGGCAGGTGGTTAGGGTGCTCAATTCACAATCCCTGTTCCACCAAACATGCTCGCCCTTTCAGCCGTTGGGGCGTTATATTGTAATGGTCAATCCCACTATTCGTTGGTAAAAAGTAACCCAAGAGTTGGCAGTGGGTGGTGATGACTAGCTGCCTTGTCTCTAGTCTTACACTGCTAAATTAGGAATGACTAGCGCAGATAGCCCTCGGGTAGCTTTGTGCAAAATTCAAAACAAACCAAACCATTTATATTTCTTATGTAAAACTCATGTTTCAT